AGTGAATGCAGAAATTGTTCTTCTCCTGTTGCTGAGAGATTATGGCACAAAAACAGGCCATTTGGCCCATCAGACGTTTGCTCCATGGGAACCTCGGGCCACCCTATTTCCCTTCAGTGCTGTCAGTGTATCCTTCTAATTCCCTGTCCCTCATTTACTGCCCCATAAATCTTACTCACTCCAGCTCCACATTATTCACGGATTGATAAGAAAGACTTGGAATCATAGAATCCCTACAGTGCGGAAGCAAGCCATTCGGCCCATTGAGTTCACACCAACCCCTCCCCCCCTAAAGCGCATCCCATCCAGACTCAGTCCCCCCCCCCCACCCACCCACCCACCCACCTCTGTCCCTGCAACCATGTACTCCCCATGGCTAATCCACCTAGTCTACACATCCCTGGACACCATGGAGAACATCGCATGGCCAATCCACCCTAACCAACTTTGGACTGTGGGAGGAAACCAGAGCACCCAGAGGAAACCCAGGCCGAATGTGAAAGCTCCACACAGCAAGTTGCCCGAGGGTGGAATTGAACCCGGGGCCCTGGCGCTCTGAGACAGTAGTGCTAACCAACTGAGACACTTCTTCTTTTGAATGCTTTAATTCATTTATTAGCAATGATCTTTATTTTGCCTAGTTTTTAATTGCCTCTGCATCTATCCCACTGATCCTCCGTAATAATAAGTGTTTTCTATTGGGCCTACTAAGCCTCAACCCATGTCTTGCCTAGAGAATCCCACTTGTTTGATCTTTTCTGGTGGCCATACCTTCTTAGTTCTGGGATTATCCTTGTAAATCATTTGTGACAACAACATCAGACCAAGGAAAGTCCTCAGACAATGTAGAGAGAGAGAGAGACCAAGGATCTTACACAAAGCTAAACCCTGCAAGGAACAGAAAGCCATATTTCTCACTGCAAACAGTCATGCAGATGAGAATTAACATGAGCCACTTTGTGCAAACAATCTGGGTTTTACTCAAGGTGCAAGCATCAATCTACAGTCATTGTTTACTTAGAGTAATTGAATATTATTAGTAAATCTCCTCATGCATTATCTGAATGTTGCATCGCACTGCACTGTGCCAAAGTGGCACTTAGCAAATGAAGAGAAGAGCAGCAGATTCCGAGCTGTTGTCAGAGTAAGCCCAGAGCAAGGATGACCTGTCCCTGCCCCAGTCCTGTGGGAGCTAAAGTGTGTCATGTCATGGCTGCAATTATCAATGACCACACTCGTGTTTACCACAGACACACAGCGAGGAGAAATGTTTATCTCTGAGAGAACGCACAGCGACACAACAGTCCTCCTGAAGGTTGGTCTCATCACTGCTTGATAGACCTGACTGCAAAATCAACGAAAGGCTCTTAAACGTACAATATAAGCAACAGGCTCACTTGGTAAAAATTAAAGTGTAGGCTGAGTATGAGCCTTCCTGACGATTCAGCGTGCCTTCACTCGAGAGCTTAGACATCATGTATCTTACCATGACTATCCGCGATCCTTTTTCATGGATATGATTGGCCAATGATTGTCACGCCTTCTATAACTTTGATAATTTTACGCTTTTCTTAATGGGATGGCAAAGGTTTTCAGCAAGGCCTGAACCCTGACTGAGTGACACAGCGAGGGGTTTATAAAAGGTAGACTTTACCTAGTGAATGTGGTGGAGTTTCTTTTGTGGCTAAAGTAATGGACGGGGTGCAGAGAGTGGGGGGGTGTTGGTGCTGTCTCTTGATGTTCTTGAGATGGGTTTCCACAGAAATGCTGAAATTGAAGCTTGACGGAGTGGATGTGAATTACAGAGCTGTGTCAGGAGGTTGGCTGAGTGCCTGGAAAGCACCAGAAGGCTTTCAGTATTGTGCCCCTGGCACTGGTGTGGAATTGGGACTGTTTAGTTAGATGGCTAATGTGGTACGGTGGGGGGTTGGGGGGGGGAGATACTTGGGGAGTGATGGGGGAGCGGATTGGCGGGGGATGATGGGAGGAATGAGGAATGGGGGGAATGAATACAATGCTAGATGGATGGGGTGATTGTAAGGAATGGGGCGTGGATGGTGGAGGGATGGGGAGTGAGGGAGAGGGAATGGGAGCACTTTCCTCTTTCAAGGGACACTTGGCTGAGGGACTGGATTGCATACTTGACAGGGGTTCCCTTGGGAGCCACTTGCTTCCAGGTCCCTGTTTTGCACCACCACAATCCCCATCGCTTCCCAAAAAAGCTACCATCCTGGATTCCTTACCTCCCCACCCTCCTTGTTGTCCCTGTATGCTGCCTTCTCCCCCCTTCACTGTGACGAACCTTTATAGCTTTAAGAGATGTGTTTTGTCCTGGTTTCTTTTAGAAAGAGATTGGGGGACAAGTGCCAAGTAGGTAAACAACTTGTGAAGCCTTTTTTTTTATAAGTTGGAGCAATAGAAGCAGCCTGAATGGGTGTGGTCAATCTCCCACCCACCGTGTAAATAAATTTAGGTTTAGATTTCAGTAGTTGTTGCTGAGTCTCAGCAGGGTTCGAAGCTGCAGTAAATCCCCCCCACCAGCTACACACTCTCAGAATTTTCTCTTCATATTTTATTCCTCTTCTGCTACTGGAATCGCGTGTGAGACAATTTGATTTCTGAATTTGCCTTTTTGCCAACTGTGTGTTAATGGGATGTTATTATATTGGTACAGTTAATTAGTAATAGTTACTGTATCTATTTTTCTATTAAGTTTTCCAGTACAGTTAAGTTATTCCAATTCCTTCTTTCTTTCGTCATATTTTAACTATAGTGGGTGAATAATGTATGTTTTGCTTTAAATCTGGTAGTTTAATCAATTGAATTGCATTTGGAATGCAACACTTCACATTTACCTTTAAAATAAGGAAAGGTTAGGGTCTGTGCTATCTTCTGAATATCTTGAGGGTGTTTGGCCTGGTCTATAACAAATTGGGGGTTCTCTTTCCCCCTTCTCTCCCCAGTCCTCCATCCCTCTTTCCCCTTCCCCCCACCCCTCCCTCTCTGCTTCCTCTCCCCCCCGCACCATCACCCCCTCTCCCCCATCCTACTTCCACCTCCATCCTGTCCCTTTCCCCCCTCTTCTCCCTGCGTGCCTGGACATGCTCTTCCAGCAGTAACCACATCCTCCTCTGTGGCGCTATTGTGCTCTGCGATTGGTTGACACCTCCTGCTGGGTGGTGCTCTCTCTCCTTCAGGCGGAGGTTGGAAGGCCCAATGGTGGGGGGGGGGCGGTGGGGCTGTCCTCGGGGCTGCCTGACCGGGGTGCGGGTCCACGGGATCTACCCTGGCACGGACAGCGTGGCTCTCCTGCCACCTGCTGAGAACGATGGTTCCAGAAGGTTTCTACCCGGGGCTGGGGGGCGCTGGGTAACAGACACGCTCCCCAAGTTGGCACAGTGTGACAAGAGGCATCTTCACCACCCTGGGATAGAACAGCACAAATCAAAGATTTGTCAAGGTAGCCAGCAAGAAAGAGAAGCCAGTAAAACCAGAGAATGAGACAAATTGGACTGACTTGTTTCAATATGGAACAACAAGCACTTCCATTTCTCAGCAAGTCATTTTTCTTTCCCCTCTGGGAATTGTAGCAGTAATGATGGACGTGTAAAATTACAGAGATACCAATGGTTTAAGGGAATGGATTTCAACGTCAATAAATGTGAAGTCATCCACTTTGGGCCTACAGAAAACATTCCAAATTGTAGAAAGCTCAGGCCAGTGGGAGCCCAAAGAGGTGAGGGGTATCCTGTTGCACAGATCATTAAAATGCTGTGAACAGCTATCAAGCATGAATCGAAAAGGTTAATAGAAGTTTGACCTTTTATGTCTAAAGGATTGAAATGCAAAGGCTTGGAAGCCATGTTCCTGCGAGGCACAGTCACGAGGGGTTTGGTGTTATTGTGAGTTGCTCTGAGCAGCGTATCTTCAGGATGATCTATTGATCTTAAACAGAGGGGTCCAGCCACCAGGTTGCAGCTTGGGAGCAGGAGGTGACTTGAGAGGTTAGTGTGTTAGCAGTAGCTCACTGCTAGATACATCAGTCTTCATAGTCTTTTTCATGACAGGGGAAGTAAAGTATAAAGTGGTACACGAAGAACAGAGGTGACTATAAGGTGACTATAACCCAATTCCTGGGTTGAGTGCAATTTACCTGTGCAGCCACACAATATATTTCATCCTCGAGCCCAGAGGCCGATCTGTCTTTAATTATTTTAAATTATCGACAATGAATGACTCTAGTAGGAAATTAGATGGGCAGCTGAGGGGAAATCACCTTGCAAGGGCAAACGACAAAGAACTGCAGATCAGAAGTTGCTGGAAAAGCTCGGCAGGTCTGGCAGCATCTGTGGAGAGAAATCAGAGTTAAAGTTTCGGGTTTCTGTCTCGGGTTTGCTCCTGTGCTTTGGCGAAACTGGAAGAACAGCACCTCATTTTCCACGTGGGGACCCTACAGCCTTCTGGACTCAACATCGAGTTCAATAGTTTTAAGGTTTGAGGCTCCCTCTTTGTCCTTGCCCCAACCCCTACACACCAGGCCTAGTTATCACATGGTTTGCTATTACACACAACCCATTGTTAGCCACTAATAGTCCCCATTAATAGCTATTCATTCTCCCAGACTGACCATTACCCACTGCTTTGCCTGCCAACTGTTTTTCTCTCTCTTTGGGCTCTATCTCCACCTATCGTTTATACTCCCCCCTACCCCCACCCCACCTTCAGTATATATACAAACCTTGCCCCAGCTACGGTCAGTTCTGAGGAATGTGGCCTGGGACCTGAGACGTTCACTCTGTTTCTCTCTCTGCAGATGTTGCCGGACCTGCTGAGTTTCTCCAGCAATTTCTGATTCTGTTTCAGTGGGAATGTGGCATTGGCTGGATTGCTGTGCAGAGATCCAACTTCAACTTGGTGGGCTGAATGGTCTCTTTCTGTGTTGTTGTCACTGTGTATTTCTGTGTTTTATTTTCTCCCTGCATCCCCCCAACCCCCCATAGGAACAGAGGGTTTGGAAGGCATAGTCATGAGTCCCAGTCAGATCAGTATGAATGTGACTGACACTACAGCATGGGCCACTGCGATGAACAACCTGGGGATAGCACCAGTCGGACTCACTGGCCCACCACTGGTATCAGGTAAGACTGCTCGATCTTCCTGTTTGAGGCAGCTCTGGGCGCTAACCGTAGCAGAGACGGAAAGTTGAGAAGAATGTCTTAGCCTTCTATTGGGTGGCATGGTGGCTCAGTGGTTAGCACTGCTGCCTCACAGTGCCAGGGACCTGGGTTTGATTCCACCCTCGGGCTACTGACTGTGTGTGTCTTTTGCATGTTCTCCCCGCGTCTGCGTGGGTTTTCTCCCACAGTCCAAAGATGTGCAAGTTAGGGTGGATTGCCGTGGGAAATTGCCCCTAGTGTCCAGGGATGTGCAGGCTACGTGGATTAGCCATGGGAAATGCAGGGTTACAGGGATAGGTTAGGAGTTTGGGTCTGAGTGGGATGCTCTTTATAGGGTCAGTGTGGACTCGATGGGCTGAATGGTCTGCTTCCACACTGTAGGGATTCTATGCTCCATGCTAGTATGGTCTTGCTCATTAGCCTCCTTTTGTGCCTTAGTGACTTTCGTATACTGATGTATGTTTCAGTTTAAGGTGTGATTTAAGATACAGCCTATGTCTTCTCTATCAGTTAAGGTAGTAGATCACAGCAGCTCGATAATGATCTAGTTGGTTCAATGGATGAACTAGTGGCGTGGTGGCAGCATGGAAAGAGGCTATTTGTCCTGTCACCTCTGTGCTGGCTCTCTAAAGGAGAAATTCATCGAATACCATTCCCCTGCCTTCTCTCCACCATTTCGTAGGTTCTTCGTCTTCAGGGAAAGTTCCAATTCCCTTTCAAATTTATCAATTTAATCTACCTCCTCCACCCTCTCAGGTAGCACACTGAAGATCCCAACGTCTCCTAGAGTCAGAGAGATGTACAGCACAGAAACAGACCCTTAAGTCCAACACGTCCATCTCGACCACATATCCTAATTTAATCTGGTCCCATTTGGCCCATATCCCTTAAACCCTTCCTATTCACATACCCATCCAGATGCCTTTTAAATGTTGTAATTGTACCACTTCCTCTGGCAGCTCATTGCATACGTACACTGCCCTCTGTGTGAAAAAGTTGCGCCTTAGGTCCCTTTTAAATCTTTCCCCTCTCACCTTAAACCTATGTCTGCTAGTTTTGGACTCCCCTGCCCTAAGAAAAAGACCTTGTCTATTTACGCTATCCATGCCCTCCATGATTTTATAAATGTCTATAAGGTCACCCCTCAGCCTCTGACATCCAGGAAAAGTAGCCCCAGACTATCCAGCCTTTCCCTATTGGTCAAACCCTCCAACCCTTTCGACATCCTTGTAAATCTTTTCTGAACCCTTTCAAGTTTAACAACATCTCTCCTACAGCAGGGAGAATAGGCTTGAAAAAAATTTCCCCTCTTACCCCCACTTTAAAAATATTTAATGACCCTCCCTCCACTGATCTCTAAGGAACTGAATTCCTCTGAGGAAAAACATTTCTGCATTTTAAATGGAAAGCTGCATATTTTTAAACTGTGGACCTTAGCTCTAGTGTCTCCCACTAGGGGAAACGTCCCTTCAATATCCGCTCTGTCATGTCCCCCCAGGATCTTGTATGTTTCAAGAAGATTACCTCTCATTCTTCAAAACCTCAATGGTCACAGGCCCAACCTATTCAATATTTCTTCTCCAATTCATGACACCCAGATGTCGCTGACTGAGTCAGCATTAATTGCTCGTCCCTAGTTGCCCTTGAGAAGGAGCTGGTGAACTGTCCTCTTGCATCGCTGCAGTCTACATGGCATGGGGGTGTTCCCATCCATCAGCTGCCTTTGTCCTTCTAGATAGAAGTAGTTGTGGGATTGGAAGGTGCTGTCTGAGGATCTTTGGTGAATTTCCACAGTGCATCTTGTAGATAGTAGCAGCAGTGCGTACTGAGCGTCGGTGGTGGAGGGAGTGGATGCTTGTGGATTTAGTGCCAATCAAGCGGCTGCTTTGTCCTGGATGGTGTCAAGCTTCTTGAGTGTTGTTGGGGCTGTACCCATCCAGGCAAGTGGGGAGTATTCCATCACACTCCTGACTTGTGCCTTGTAGATGGTGGACAGGCTTTGGGGAGTCAGGAGGTGAGTTACTCGCTGCAGTATTCCTAGCTTCTGACCTGCTCTTGTCGCCACTGTGTTTATGTGGTGAGTCCAGATGAGCTTCTGGCCAATGATAACCCCCAGGATGTTGATAGTGGAGGATTCAGTGATGGTAGCACTGTTGAATGTAAATGGGCAGTGATTAAATTCTTTCTTTGCAAGTCCAGTTTGACTCTTCTGCAATGAAACCAGGTGCCTCATGCACAGGGATCTGTCTGCAAAATCTCCTCAAGATAGAAAAACCGCAACCACACTGGAGATAGCTTTAATCTAGCAGAAACTGGGTGGATGATGATGTGGTTTGTGGTTTTCTATGTATTGGTTCACATATACCACAGGTAGGTGGGTTCTTGGTTGAGTCAGCTATCTTGAAGTTTATTTATAGCAGTAACTATCTACACGATATCATAGACTTCAAGACACAGTCCCAGTTCTGTGCTCACTGAAGTTACTCTACATTACATACATGTATGTAGCTGACTGACTGGACACTTAATACTACTTCTGTAATACTGAGAGAGTGACTGAAGATGAGACCGGTACCTTTATACTGGGACAGGTTGTGATGTTGTATTACTATCTATAGGCACAAGCCTGTTTGATTTTGAATACAACAGGTGACCCTTTCAAAGTGAGCTTTTGCAATCTCCACCTCTTTGAGCAAGGAGGTCTGGTGATTCCTCAGCGGGGAGCTGCAACATTGTTATGGTAATGTTGACAGTACCTATACCAGCAGTCTGAAGCAGCTTGGCATCGGTTGGAGGGGGAGGGATAGAGAGTGGTCCTCTTCTGAGATCAAGAGGAAGCAGGGGTTCAAGGACGAGTCAGTAGGAGTCCATGGGAGTAGCTGTAGCATTCTGTCCCCAACCCTCCTCTGGAGAACCTCTCACAGACAGCTTAATATCATGAACAACCGCCTTAGTCCTCTCATGTCCCCATTATAATTGGCGTGGTCTCTTGCCGTGTCTGCTGAAAAATCAGTAAAAACCACGAGAAGACTGCATCCTGCCCTCTAACCAGACTTGTGCCAGGAGGAAGCAGCTGAACATTAGATCGAAACAGAAATGCCTCTGTGCCTGAATATCTGAGTGATTTCCCAGTGACAGTGACCTGGGGCCTGACTCTCGCCTTGGCCTCTCAGCCCACCTCACTGGTCAAAGACCCACTTTGATTAAACTCCTCTACACTCACTGGGTCCTCTACCCTGGCAGCACTCCCACACTTGCATTGCCCTGTGTTGACAGAGAACTTTCAAAGCAGGTGGATTTGAGAGAACCGCACTCGAGCCAAGTGATTTGATTTCCAGATGAATGCGGTCTGGCAGTACAATTAATGTTGCCCGGCTGTAATGCCAGCACCCAATGGTGGACAGGCTCTGTCCCCGCTCCCTGTTTGTTGTGGATCTACACAGTTGAGAGAGCCACACTGCGTCTGCTCCCTGATATGGCGCCTTTGACGAGGTGACCAAGAGAATGGGTGAAGATGTTGTCTACATGGACTTTAGCAAGGGCTTTGACAAGGTTCTGCATGGTAGACTGGTTAGTAAAGTTAGATCATATGGGATTCAGGGAGATCTAGCCAATTGCCTACAGAATTGGCTTGACGGTGGGAGACAAGGGTAGAGAGTTGTTTTTTTGGACTGGAGGCCTGCGACCAGTGGTGTTCATTTGTCATTTACCTAAATGATTTGGATGAGAATATAGAAGGCATATTTGGTAAGTTTGCAGGTGACACCAGCATTGGTGGTATAATGGACAGTGAAGAAGGTTATCTAAAATTACAAAGGGACCTTGATCAATTGGGCCAATGGGCCGAGGAATGGCAGATGGAGTTTAATTTAGATAACTGCGAAGTATTGTATATTGGAAAGGCAAACCAGGACAGGACTTACACAGTCAATGGTAGAGCCCTGGGGAGTGTTGCCAAACAGAAAGACTGAGGGGTGCAGGTACATGGTTCCTTGAAACTGGTGTCACAGACATGGTGGTGAAGAAAATACAGGGCACACTTGCATGCATCAGTCAGAGCATTGAGTACAGGAGTTGGGATGTCATGTTACAGCGTTACAAGACATTGGTAAGGCCACATTTGGAGTACTGTGTACAATTCTGGTCACCCTGCTACAGGAAGGATGTTATTAAACTGGAAATGGCGCAACGAAGATTTTCAAGGATGTTACCAAGACTGGAAGGTTTGAGTTATAAGGAAAGCCTGGATAGGCTGGGACGATTTTCACTGGCGTGTTGGAGTTTGAGGGGTGACCTTATAGAGGTTTACAAAATCATGAGGGGCACAGAAGAGGTGAATAGGCATGGTCTTTTCCCCAGGGTAGGGGAATGCAAAACTAGAGGGCATAGGTTTAGGGTGAGAGGGGAAAGATTTAACAGTGCCCTGAGGGGCAACTTTTTCACACAGAGGGTGATGCATGTATGGAGTGAGCTGCCAAAGGAAGCGGTGGACGCAGGCACAGTTACAACAATTAAAAGACATTTAGTGAGTTACATGAATAAGTACATTTTAGAGGGATATGGACCAAACGCAGATAAGTAGGACTAGTTTAGTTTGGGAAAGCTGGTCAGCATGGACTGAAGGGTCTCTTTCTGTGAATGTATGACTTTATGAGTTTGGTATTATATTGCAGGTGTATTGAGGGAACCCAGTGCAGTACAAGGTGCTATCTATCAGATAAGGCCTTAAACCAGGCCTCTGAAATGGACGATACCATGGTATTATTTCAAAGGAGCTCTGTTGGTGCCCTGATCAACATTTACCTCTCAATCAACATTATTGACACAAAGTTTCCAGTCATTCTGGTTCTTGGCAGCTTGCTGTGCACATTGTTGGCTGCCGCGTTTCCTACGTTAGCAAGCGTTCCAGGGGTTTTGTTGAAATCTGCATGATGTGACACATTCCCGCCTCCCTATCACCATTCCCCCAACCCATTCCACTGAAAATACCTCCCCCCACCGTCACCCCCACCAGCAATGATAACGTTGGCAATTTGAACAGTTCGAGATAGACTAGGATGTCAGTTTGTAAGATAGCTATAATTTATTGGTTTGTCAGCTGTGCAGCGCTTGGAGATTTTCTGGGTTCCAACGCGGCGCTAGATAAATGTGGGTTCTTTCTTTCCTGACCATTGCCAAGTTGGTACGTGTGTTATTCCCTCAAGGTCACTCCGCTAATATGAGTTCCCTGATTGGGGCTGCTAACCGTTTCCAATCAGGGAGCCCTGGCTCACAGGAGTGTCAGAGATTCTGCTCACTTTGAGAGCTGGCTCGGGGGAAGCTGGATCAGTGCCAAAGACCCTCCACATGTAAATAAAGGTGATTGGGTGATGGGATTCCAGCCTGTGTGGAGTTATTTTAATTTTGTTATCGAGAGCGTCCCAGATCACACGTTGACCTGGAATTTTGATTCTTGAATCAGAGCCCCATTCAAGGGAGGGTTCAAGCTGAAACCCTCCCTTGTAAAGCATATTTGTGAAATTTATTCTCTCTTGGGCATGACAAGCTAGGGCAGAATTTGTTGCCCAATCCTTAACTGCCCTTGAGGTGCATTTTAGTGTCAGCTGTATAGCTGTGGGTCTGGAGTCACATGTAGGCCAGGCCAGGTAAGGCTGGCAGATTTCCTTCCCTAAAGGACATGAGTGAACCAGATGGGTTTTTCCCAAAAATCGCTGATAGTTGTCATGGTCACCTGTAACTAAACCCAGATTTTATTAACTTAAATTTGAGGCAGCATGTTGGCTAAGTGGTTAGCACTACTGACTCACAGCACCACTGACCTCAGTTCAATTCCACCCTTAGGCACACTGTGTGTGGAGTTTGCACATTCTCCCCATGTCTGCATGAGTTTCCTCTGGGTGCTGTGGTTTCCTCCCACAGCCTGACAATGTGCAGGTTAAGTGAATTGGCAGCACTAAATTGTCCAATATATTATTTAATTAAGTCTTTGAACAGAGTTAAAGTTATGCCTATTCTTTTATTTGTTTGTATTTTAACCGTGGTGTAAGAATAAAGTGTGTTTTGCTTAAAGCCTAGTAGTTTTATCAATTGAATCACATCTGAAATACACTTACCCTTAAAGAAGATAAAAGTTAGGGTCTAGGCTATCTCCTTGATATATTTTGAGGGGGTTTGATCCGGTCCATAATGCTTGCTTTACCTGGGAGGGACACAAGTGGATTAGCCATGGAAAATGCAGGGTTACAGGGATAGGGTAGGGTGTGGGATGCTCTTTGGAGGGTCGGTGTGGACTCAAGCGGCTGAATGGCCTGCTTCTAGACTGTAAGAATTCTACGAAATTTAAGTTTGAGCCCCAGTTTCCCACCAAATTAGCCTGAGCCTCTGGATTACTAACCCCGTGATATTAACACGTCAGCATCTCCCCATAATGTCAATCGCCTTGCAGGGTATTTTATCGAATAGTGACTGAGAGTCAAAGTACCGGTGGAGCAAGTGACAGGAGCTTTCTTGTGTCTCCCAGATCCCATTTGTGTTCCAACGTTTGACCATGGCCTTGGATTAATGACAGGAATGGCTCCAGTCAACCCAATGATGACCGGCATCAGCCTGCTACGACCAGCAGTCCCTCCTGGTTTATCCGTCATGAAAGAGATCATCCACTGCACAAGCTGTACCCTCTTTCCCGCCAATCCAAGTAAGTCCCACCGTTAGGTACAGCTCTGACATGTTTGTGACAAAATGTGCCGTAAACAGGGATTTATTCTGTCTTGTTACTCTTGGACAGGAGTCTTGTAAACCTGGTACTGGGGTGAATGCTCCGTGGCAATCAGAATAAATAGCTTTGTTTTTTTTTAAATTAGACAAAAGAAGCATGAGTGGGTGGAGTCAGGCTCACACAGATCCAGGGTTTTAGTTTGTGCTTTCAGTTGTTGAATTAGGGGTTTTGGAGTTGAAGCTGCTAGATACAGTTCACTCTCTGCTGCTAGATTCATTCAGTCATTTTTCTCCTTTCTCCTGGACTGGAGGAGATCACAAGTGAGGGAAATCTGTTTCGCTGAATTTGCCTTTGCCAAGGGTGTGTTTATAGAATGCTGCTATATTGAAACAGTTGATGAGTAGTAGTTAAATAATATATTATTTAATTAAGTCTTTGAAAAGAGTTAAAGTTATGCCTGTTCTTTTATTTGTTTGTATTTTAACTGTGGTGTAAGAATAAAGTGTGTTTTGCTTAGTTTTACAATTGAAGCACATCTGGAACGCACTTGCCTTTAAAGAAGATAAAAGTTAGGGTGTAGGCTTTCTCCTTGATATGTTTTGAGGGGGGTTGGTCTGGCCCATAACGCTAGCTTTACCTGGGAGGAACAAAAGTTGAGAAGTCTTTGATGTGTTCAGATTCCAGCATGGCCATTATCAGGATGGGAACAGACTTGTCTGCCATCCTTCTGAAGCGGCCTACTCCTCGGATAGCTCGTCCAGCTTAGTCGACTCAGTAGGAGGTTTTCAGGCCATAGTCTGGGCCTGAGATCATATAGTTGTACTTTGCTGTAGAGTCGTCTCCATTATCAAGGCCCACAGGAACATCCAAAGGCAATTTAAAACAGTCACTCCCTCAAGTCTGCCACACCACTCATTGCGATCGTAGCTGACCTATTCTAATTTGACCCACTGCTGTTCCTATCTCTCAGTACCCTTGTGTAGCAATCTTCGTCTTGAAATCTAGTCCAATACTCAACATCTTTTGGGAGGACCATAAGACCATAAGGCGTAGGAGCAGTAGTAGGCCATTCAGTCCATTGACTCTCATCATCCTCAACTCCACTTTCCTGCCTTTTCCCTGTAACCCTTGACTCCCTTGCAATTTAAAATCTACCTCAACCTTGAATATTCTTAATGACCCCAGCCTTGACAGCCCTCTGTGTTCACGAATTACCTTCTGAGAGAAGAAATTCCTCCTCATCACTGTCTTAGATATCAGGTAATGCCCTCTGGTCCTGGGTTCTCTCACAAAGGGGAAACAACCTCTCCACGTTTACCTGAGAACCACAACTCCCTGAGAATCTTGTATGTTTCAATAAGGTCGCCTCGCATTCTTCTGAATTCCAATGAGTACAGGTTTGACTTACTCAATCTCTCCTGATAAGACAGTCCCTCCATGCCCAGTATTAACAGGTGAACCTTTTCTGGATTAATCCTAGATTCCTGCTCCTTGATTTTTGTGTAGGAGAATTTATCTTGCTCCTATATGACCCAATTCCACTCACTAGATTGCGTCCCCTTGTTTTTGGTTTACTCCATCAGAGGAAATATCAATCAAATCCTTTTAACATTTGAAACGCTTTGATTAGATTTAAAGTTTTGGCAAAAATGTGTAGCTCGGGCTGTGGATAAGGTTGTTGACTTGCTCGCCAAGCTGGTTTGTTCTCATTTCGTCACCAGGCTAGGTTACATCATCAGTGGAGCCTCCGATAAAGCGATGTTATTCTACTCCAATCGGAATTTATATTGTTTGATCTGTTATGGTGAGTAGTGTCATTTCTGGTTTTGATCTGTATGGGTTTGTATATGGGGTCCAATTGTATATGTTTGTTGATTGCATTAGGCATAGTTCTCCACCTGTAATGCAATCAACAAACATATAGAATTGAATAGAGTAGAACAATATCGCTTCATAGGAGGCCTCACTGATGACGTTACCTAGCATGGTGAGAAAACGTCTGAACGAAAACAAGCCAGCTCGGTGAGCAAGCCAACAACCTCATCACTCCTCAATCTTCTAAACTCAAGGAATACGGACCAAGTTTATGGAACCTGTCCTTATAATTAAACGCTCTGACCCTATGTATCATTCTGTACAGCTAATGTAACTATCTTCTTCCTGAGGTGTGATGCACACAAGAGACTTGATCAGGATATTGAAAAAAAGGTTATTACGATAAAGGCCAACACACCATTAACCTTTTTTACGATTGCTTTTTGTATTTGTCTCTTAGCTGTCAATCTCCTCGACAGTTTGACTGGTCTCCGACACTTTAGAAATTACTTGTGGGTTTAACGTATTTTGGGTTCAAAGTGGATGACCTCACAGCCGCTTGTTCACGCAAACCTATGTCCTTTCTGCCCCCATTTGCTCAACTTATTGACCCCCAACCCTCCACAACTCCCAGCTGCTCAAGACCATTGTGAAAGGGCAAGAAATACCATCCCGTTCCCCGTGACACTCCCCTATGATCACAACGAAAGGGTTGTGAACTAAGTGAATTACTGTTTTTTTTTATTTGCACTGTACAACGAAATGTGGGTGTCAGTATTTATTGCCCATACCTAGTTGCCCCCTTGAGAAGGTGGTGGTGAGCTGCCTTCTTGAACCGCTGCAGCCCACATGCTCTAGGTAGACCCACAATACCCTTAGGGAGGGAATTCCAGGCTTTTGACCCAGCGGCAGTGAAGGAACGGCAATATATTTCCAAGTCAGGATGGTGAGTGGCTTGGAGGGTAACGTGCCGAGGGTGGTGTTCCCATATATCTGCTGCCCTTGTCCTTCTAGATGGAAGTGGTCATGTGTTTGGAAGGTGCTGTCTAAAGATCTTTGGTGAATTTCTGCAGTGCATCTTGTAGATAGTACACACTGCTACTACTGAGTGTTGGTGGTGGAGGGATTGGATGTTCATGGACGTGGTGCCTATCTTGAGAAGCTGTGAGTTGGGAGTGGCTGACAATAAGTTGAACAAACAGGAGTGGAAAGGACATAGATTCGTGAGAATGAGCAACTATGAAGTTATCCATTTTAAAACCAAAAGCTGATTTGTCTCGGATGGTGAGAAGCTTCTTAAGTGTTGTTGGAGCTGCACCCATCCAGATAATTGTTTTTAACTAAGCGAGCCTATCCTTGGCTTACAGTGCTGAGCAATCAGTGAAGGATTACCTTCTGTCTGTTTATCTCTCCAGAAGTTGCTAGGCCACTTTAAGTCCTGTACACTCAGACTGAAAACAGAAAGCTCTCATTTTCTGATGCTACTGCTAATGAGTTCAGAGGATCTGTATGTTGAATGTAAAAAAAAATTCCATGTTGATTACTTTGTTTAGATCAGACTCCCTCAAAATATATTAAGAATGTAGCCTAGACACTAAATTTTTTCTTATTTTAAAAGTAAAAGTGTTCCAGATGCAGTCCGATTGGTCAAACTACTCAATGGTAAACAAAACACAATTTATTCAAACACTATGGTTAAAAATACAACAAATGAAACAGGAACTTGGAATGACTTAACTCTTAATGGAAAACTAGACAGAATAATAGATACAGCAACTATTACTAAGTAACATCCCATAAACACAGCCTTGGCAAAAAGGCAAGTTCAGAAATCAGTTTGTCTCACATGCAGCTCTCATAGCAGGAGAAGAACCCTCCAGCTTTTGGCTATAAGCGAGAGAGAGGGAAAAAATAGCTTCTACCCCTTCAAGATCCTGGTACTGTGGGTAGGAGCTTCAGCACACCCATTCAGGCTGCTTCTATTGTTCTAACTCTCAGAAAAAAGACACCTAAGGCCTCACAAGTTGTTTATCCTCAGACAGACTGCCCCCTAATCGCTTTCTAAAAGGAACCAGGACAAAACACACCACCTAAAGCCACAGTATTGTCACAGGAAGCAGCTGAATCTCACTGTGAAAATGCCGTTCTGGAATTAACGCAAAATAAATCAGTGCATTGACTCACTGTATCAGTCTTAAATCATGAACATATGTACCAGTCTCTTCACACGAGAAAATTATAGAACCTCATCCATGCAATCGCTATCACAACGTAATGTTCCCATTTGTTAATGTTTGAACAGCCGGGCAATTAGATTGTAGTGGGAATGGACCTCTTAAGGGACAGCCTAGTGATTTCAAGTGAGGTCTCACTCTCTAGTACTGGAGGACTGCGATGATGCTTGCTTCATGAATAACTGCAGCATCTATTGTTCTATAACAACTGAGTGGGTAATTGGTATTGCATTATTCAACAATCCTTGATCGTTTCCAAGCACTGCAGGTTAACAGCATTTGATTTGTTCTCGGAACAGAAGCAGAATCGTTTCCACTGAGAATTTCAAAGTGTCACAGGACAGGGGGCAAGTCGAGACAGTTTTCTGGGTTATACCCCCCATAAGGAATATTCAGGGCACAGCTTGGTGAGAGAAGCCCAGTCGTAATAGGTGGAGGATTTTGAGCAATATTCCTCGCTGCAGGGTGGCACGGTGGCTCAGTGGTCAGCACTGCTGCCTCACAGCGCCATGAGCCCGGGTTCGATTCCAGCCTCGGGTGACTGTCTCTGTGTGGGAGTTTGCATGTTCTCCCCCATGTCTGCGTGGATCCTCTCTGGGTGATCCCCCTGTTTCCATCCACAGTCCAAAGATGTGCAGGTTAGGGTGGATTGGGCCAGGGCTAAATTGCCCCATAGTGTCCAGGGATGTGCAGGCTGGGTGGGTTAGTCGTGGGGAATGCAGATGTGGGTGGGTCAGTATGGACTCGATGGGCCGAATGGCCTGCTTCCACACTGTAGGGATTCCACGGTCTGGCTGAGCCTCGTGCTGTTCCTTTCTCGATTTGCAGATTTGCCCCCCCCAGCCACTCGCGACCGTCCACCCGGCTGCAAGACGGTGTTTGTGGGGGGCCTGCCGGAGAACGCCGGTGAGGATGAGATCCGCGAAGTCTTCGAGAAGTGCGGCGAGATCACGGCCATCCGCAAAAGCAAGAAGAACTTCTGCCACATCCGCTTTGCCGAGGAGTTCATGGTGGACAAAGCCATCTACCTGTCAGGTGCATCAGCTGTTCGGCCATCTTCCTGCCCCACTGATCCTCTCACACTCGTGTTAAAGGGGGCTAACCATCCGGCAGCTCTCCCCTGGAGATTGTCGTCGAGCCTTGATCGGAGGTTCGGGGCTGGCACTATGACCACCGAGTAATATCAAGTTTCCTCAGCCTTATCCAGGCTACATGAGGTGCCATCTCCCCAAGGCCTGTTAGGCAGGCCCTGCTGAGGGACTACTGGCCCATTTGAGAGGCTGGAGGGGCATTTCCGAGAAAGAAAAAGGGCAGCCCTGTCCTTTCTTCTGGGTGGGGCAACTTCCATTGGGCACGCGCCCAGGTGTAGAGGCTCATGGGAAGGGACCGATCTTTTCGCCAAGGTAGACAAGTGCCCTCTCCCTCCCAGGTGGAGGCCCTCTAGTGGTCAATAATTTTCCCAGTTAAAGGCCTAAATTGGCCAAAGGGTTGAGCAACACCTTTCCCCACCACTAGCAAAATCCCCAGGGAAGGTGCCTTACCATCAGCCCCGCCAGCATGCCACCCTCCCAGCTTACTCATTCCTGGGAATCCATTAAACTCCTACCAACATTTTGGGAAACTCAGTCCACTCACCCCTCCCAACTGTGAAGTTGCTTGTTGATTATCATGGCCTGTTAGGGCAGGCCTTCCATGTTGGCAAATGGGAATTGGGAAACAGGACTGACTCCATATCAAGCACCTACCTCTGCCCTCAGACTGCCAAAATGTGAGGCCTTCTCTGCCACTTCTAGGAACAGGTTTTGGATACAGAGATGGGCGAGTTCAGAGACCTACCTCCATTCCCAAAGACCTCATGCCAGTGCTTCTGATGGAATCAGTAACTCCTCTATATGGAGTTGAGTTGACATTTCCTGATCCTTCTCAAATCCCCTTGCAATCACCCCTCACCTCCCTTACCCCTCTCACCCATTATCCATTTTATGAAGAGTGCTCACAAATCCTATTATAACAGCTTTGTCGAATAACCCCTAACTAAACAAATTACCCTTAAAAGCAGCTCTATGAACTTGTAAATGTACTTGTAAAATGATTAGGCAGTAGGGTTACAGCCAAAAGCCCATAAAACCTCCCAAGGGAATAAGCAGACTTCAGAACAGTTATGTCAACAGATTTGAGACGTGAACGTGTAAAAATAATGGAAACAATTTAAACATTTAGATATGTTTATCATACTCGGCGACCCTGTCGAATAGAATGAAATAGGCTCTACTTTCTTTAGCCAGTTGATGAACATCTTTTAAATCATCTGAAGCATTTTCCACATTTACAACATTGATCTTTTAAATCACAGCTTGCTAGTTGGCTAAAGTAACAACCTAGCAAGCACTATGCTTTTTGGAAAGTCACATATTCTCATCACAAGGCTGTTGTGATACACCTTAATTAACACAAGTAGCACCTCAAACTACAATATTTTGTGATGAACTGTAAAGGGCAGAAAACTGTTTTACTTTTAATTTTGTTATTAATTTATATGACTTATAAATGATCCATTTAAGGACTTTCCCACCTCAGTCTGTTGTTCATGCCTCTGTGTATAAGGTATAAAACCTAATGGCTCCCAAAGTCTGGTCCATTCTGTAAAAAATCTTTAATACTTAATGAGATGGGCTATCAATGATCCTGCAACAGTGTCACTTTACCAAGAGTGAGAGTGGGTGGATTCCACGGCTGAACCCCTCTCAGAATCGTACAGTGCAGAAGAGACCCTTCAGCCCATCATGTCTGTAATGGCCAAGGAGGCGTGGGTCTTTTATATGCTGCTTGGTGGCCATTTCTCTGGTCCCTCCTCCAGCTCCCACTGCCAGGTTATCAGTAAGCTGGTTCCCACACTGCACATTGCACTACATGATGAGAGAGCAGTGTGGAAATGAGATGAAGCCAAAGGGGTGGAGGCGGGGTTAGAGTAGACGGTTGCTCACGCTTCATTTGAAGCCCAATATTGAACACCGTCAGTTCCGTCTCATTTCTAATGAGGTGTGTTTGCAAGCAGGCTACCGCATGAGGCTGGGGTCAAGCACGGACAAGAAAGACACAGGTCGGCTACACGTGGACTTTGCTCAGGCTCGGGACGATTTCTACGAGTGGGAGTGTAAGCAGCGGATGTTGGCCCGGGAGGAACGCCACCGGCGCATGCTGGAGGATGAACACCTGAGACCACCCTCCCCTGCACCAATTGTACACTATTCGGAGCACGAGGCCAGCCTCATGGCTGAGAAACTCAAAGGTACTCTTGCATCTCTGGCATTGAAACGGTGTTCAGCTGGGCTCTGCAGGGACCACATGTATTCAAACCCATCCACAATCTGCTGTCAGTATATTTAGGACTTGACAAGGGGAAGCCTACATTCATCATTGCACAGCTGAGAGAACAGCCTGAAAAACATTTCTCTGAATAGTGCAGACGCCAGACAAACACACGTTGGAGAACAAGGCTTCTGCTCAAACAGGAGACTTCACTGCAATGGCTTTTGACCATGCATAAAGTTTATCAGGCAGTAATGTTCTGAATTTCAAAAGATAATTGGGCATTTCCTTCATTCAGCTGAACACACACACGCACGCACGCACGCGCGCGCACACACACACACACACGCACACACACACACACACACACACACACTCTCTCACACACACACACACACACACACACACACAGTCACATACACACAGTCTCACACACACACAGTCTCACACACAGAGTCTCACACAGACACACACACAGTCTCACATGCACACACACTTACATAGATCACACAGACACACATATATACGCACAGACATTTACACAGACACACATACACATATTCACAGACACACATATACACAGACATATACACAAACACACACTCACATAGATACACACATGCATACATACACACACTCACATAGATACACACACAGATACACAAACTCTCACGTGTACATACACATACATAGTTGCACACATATATATACAAACACACACTTACACATTCACTTACACAGATACACATACACATATAGAGTCATAGAGCTGTACAGCATGGAAACAGACCCTTTGGTCCAACTTGTCCATGCCAACAAGATATCCTAAATAAATCTAGTCCCATTTGCCAGCTTTTGGCCCATATCCCTCTAAACCCTTTCTATTCATGTACCCATCCAGACGCCTTTTAAATGTTGTAATTGTACCAGCCTCCACCACTTCCTCTGGCAGCTCATTCCATACACACACCACCCTCTGCTCCAACAATGTGCTGTAACCCCACATGCAAAAGACCACCCCAGCTGCATCAGTGATACTTGTACATTAGTTCAGTGATAGTTATTATACTAATAATGTGTGACGCATTTGAATTTTTGAAACCCAATTTATCTGTGAAGAATTGCAAGCGAACAAAACGAGGAAGAATCTTTGCTCATGAATTATGTGAAGTCTACTGTCCTTGTTTGTGTGATGGTCGTACTCACTTGCTCTGAGTGGCACTCAGAGAAATTACTGGCTAGACTGTTTTTATTGGAAAATCAGTAAGTAATTTCAAAACCTGCTTTTAACTATTTTCTCAGGAACATTTTTTGTATTATTAACACACAAAAATCTTGACTGAGTTCATAATTACAGACTTGAAGCCCAATAATCAAATTTATTAATTCCTAATGAAAACATTGCACCTTCACTAGACTGCGGTTGAGGATAATTTAATGTTGTGGCGTACTTTCATTTGCCTAACTCTAGATTTTATGGCGCCTTTAATTTAGGTCATTCTTCACAGGAGAGTCCCAGTTGACTAATCTTTTGAGAAAACCTTCACTCGCCTTGATATCTCTGTTCATTTTCTGAAAGCTGTCAAGGAGAATAAAGCGAACAAGCTCTCTTTTATTTACTTAACCTTTTCGAATTCTTCTCCGTCTGATATTTCTCCCGTCATCAGTTTATGGCAGAGTCTCTCAGCACCTTGATTTCAGCCTGGAGAATATTTATTCTCCAGCCTTTCAGATTTCTCTCAAGCGCAAAGCAATAAAATGGAGCTGCTTGAGGTAAAATGGAAATAGTGAGGGAACCCTGCCACTTTATAAACCTTTGCTACAATGACATTTACATTGTGGGTGTACAGTTCCTGCAGTATATTGAAGCTGCTGATAGGATTATGGGCTAGCAGAATGCTAGAGGAGATGGAAGAATTGATTTACGAGGCGTGGTTGTCTGAATTAGACAAGATCACACTGATAATGACGTGTTCTGGGGTGATATTGTTGGGGGCTTTAACCTTTAAAAGGACAAGGTAGTGTAAGATGGATGGGTGCATGGTGATACAGTAGTGCAGGCTCCCTTTCTCTGAACCAGCAGCTCTGGGTTTGAGTCCTTCTCCAGGACTTGATGCTCAAGGAAAGTGCATTCATAACGTCGTCAAACAGTTTGAGGACCCTTCCAACACACATAGGGGGTATGGTTAGTAAGTTTGCAGATGGCGGCAAAATTGGTGGTATAGTGCACAGTGAAGAAGGTTATCTCAGAGTACAACGAGACCCAGGAGTGGCAGATGGAATTTAATTTTGATAAATGTGAGGTGCTGCATTTTGGAAAGGCAAATCAGGACCGGACTAATACACTTAATGGTGAGGTCTTGGGGAGTGTTGCTGAACAAAGAGACCTTGGAGTGCAGGTTCATACTTCCTTGAAAGTGGAGTTTCAGGTAGATAGGAAAGTGAAGAAGGCCACTTTTGAAATACTGCTTTCAATTCTGGTCTCCCTGCTATAGCAAGGATGTTGTGAAACTTGAAAATGTTCCGAAAAAGTTTACAAGGATGTAGCCAGGGTTGGAGGGTTTGAGCTACAGGGAGAGGCTGAATAGGCTGGGACTATTTTCCCTGGAGCGTTGGAGACTGAGGGGTGACCTTATAGAAGTTTATATAATCATAGGGGCGTGGATAGGGTGAAGAGATAAGGTCTTTTTCCCAGAGTAGGAGAGTCGAAAACTAGAGGGTATAGGTTTAAGGTGAGGTTGGAAGGATTTAAAGGGACCTGAGGCGCAACTTTTTGTGTATGGAATGTGCTGCCAGAGGAAAGGGTGGAGGCTGGTACAATAACAACATTTAAAAGGCATCTGGAGGGGTATATGAATAGGAAGGGTTTAGAGGGATATGGGCCAAATGCTGGCAAATGGGACTAGATTAATGTAGAATATCTGGTCGGCATGGACGAGTTGGACCAAAGGGTCTGTTTTCGTGCTGTACAGCTGTATGGCTCTATGACTCTATGGCAAGAGCAGGAGAGATTCCTAGTCAGGCTTGTGAAGGGAAAAGATATTGGAGCATTTACCATCACTATCTAGGCTCTGACAATACCTGTGACAGTGGATGCTGCACAGTAATGTAGAACCATTGAAGCCCAGTTAGCTCAGTTGACAGGCTGGAGAAATTGGTGAAAAACAGCATCGGCTTCAATTAATTCCAAATTAATCATAGAATCCCTACAGTGTGGAAACAGGCCCTTCGGCCCAACAAGTCCACACTGAACCTCAGAGCATCCCACCCAGACCCATCCCCCCTAATCAACACGTCCCTGGACACAAAGGGCAATTTAGCATGGCCAATCCACCCTAACCTGCACATCTTTGGACAGTGGGAGGAAACTGGAGCACCCGGAGGAAACCCACACAGACATGGGGAGAATGTGCAAACTCCACACAGACAGTCACCCAAGGATGAAATCAAACCTGAGTCCCTGGCGCTGTGAGGCAGCAGCGCTGACCACTGTGCCACCGTGCCGCCCCTAATCTAGGGAAACATGTACGGGCGATCAAGTAGCTCCCCAGAGAATCAGTGGAAGGAGTAAGTAATAATTCATTCAAGCATTGGTAAATGGAGCATGCTTGGGAAAAGTTCTTTTTGGAACTATAGTCCCAAAATTTGCTCCTGCTGTGATTTTCCTCGTCTCATGTTTTGGGATTGTTGTAGACTACCTGATCCAAAATTTGCTGCGATTAGTCAGCGGCACCATTATCGCTGCATCGTGGGGCTCCCGAGTTGCCAAGGTGATGACAGACACTTGCTGTTTGACACAAAACAATTCCTTTACTCCCGAAAGGTTGCAGGCTGAATGCTACGTTATTATTCTAGGGATGACTTGCTTGAGTGTTTGGCATTTCCTTTGTTCTTTATCATCGACCCACAATAGAACAAAGAACACAATTCCTGTTTTTTATTCCAAAGTGGTTCTGCAGGATTGAGTTAAAAACCATGGCAGGTTCTGACAAATGACTTTCAGGTCCTTGGGGTGAATTTCTGCTGGTTCCTTCACACACTTGATGCTGAACTGATGCGTTCATAACACTCGCGCCATTTTCCATGGGTTCCCATAGTTGAAGCTGCAGTGAGTGGAAATATATGGAAAGTATCCAAATGACTAAGTGTTGCTTTGAAAGGAACTTCTGCCAGGTTAAAATGATAGAGAATAGTTTCAGCTTCATTGACCAAGTGGGTTCTAGTTGCTCTTATTCTACTAACAGAGCCAATGCTGCACTTGACAGCAAATGATGCGATGTTGAGGAACTTCATTGGTTTGTGTTTATACATTTTTACCATTGAATCAAGTACGTTTTTGTAACTTTCCCCAAATTTGTGTCGTATGTTTCACACTTCAGCAACAAAGGAAAACGTCTGCAGTTGCCAGAAATTTGAAACTGAAAGAGAAATGCTGGAAGCATTGAGCAGAACCAACAAGATCAGTGGGGAATGGGATAAAATTAAATATTCAGGTCTCTGACCCCTCGTCAGAACTGGGGACAGTTAGAGATGTAACAGGTTTAAGCCAAGTGCAAAGGTGAGAGGAGGAAATGACAAGAGAGAAGGTCTTTGATTTAGAGATAGTAGGAACTGCCAATGCTGGAGAATCTGAGATAACAAGGTGTAGAGTTGGAAGAACACAGCAGGCCAAGCAGCATCAGAGGAGCAGGAAAGCTGACGTTTCGGGTCTGGACCCTTCTTCAGAAAATGGATTTGATTTGATTTGATTTAATTTGTTGCAGTCAGATGTACCTAAGCACAGTGAAAAGCTTTGTTTTGTGAGCAGTACAGGCAGATTATAGCAAACAAGGAACATCCAGATCGCAGGGTGCTTAGACAGAGTGAGGCATACAAGGTTACACTGCACAGGAGATAACACAAAGCAAGATCAATATTGTTTGAAGTTAGACAGGTCCAATCATCAGCCTAATGGCAGGGAAGAAGCTGTTCCTGAACCTG